CTTAAAACTTATTTTTTCAAACTAGCCTTTAATTTGTAATTTATTTGTAATTTGTAATTTTTTATCTGTAATTTTTTCATAATTATCTATATTTTTATTTCTCAGCGCTTAGATCTGAGCTGTATAAGCGCTTTAAAAATGACATTATTATTATTATTATTATTATTATGGCCATCAAACGTGCTAAAGAAGGAAATCCAGTGTAAAACGTAACAGATTCATCAGTTTTAAGTACGTCTTCGATGAACAGTTCCCGTTTTAGTTCTGACTTGTTTTTCAACCTGTTCCTGAGGGACTCGTTCTCATTTTTTTAGTTCGTCTAGTTCTTTCTTTACTTGAGAAAGCTCTTCAATTTCGAAATTGACTTGACTTGTTTTTTCTCGTTGTGAACTTTTAGAAAAATATTTCAAAAATCATTTTGAATGTCTAAGTGTGCACTAGTTTTACTGAATATCGGCGGACTATCAAGGACACGATCCTCCAGTTTCGGCACACTATTCCTTTCGTCGTCTTCCAGATCTTTTTTTACTCCTTTCTCTTCTTTCTCCTCTAGACGTGTTTGAGATTCGCTGAGGTTTAAATATTGTAGGAATACTAGACGTTTTTAAAAATACTCTCCCGGTCAGAGAAGTTTTTATGTTACTAGCGACAAAATGTGCGGAGCAAATTCTCGGTCTTTTTAAACTTTTAAAAACAGCATCACTTCGTTGGCAAAAACATTTCCACTTCTTATTTTTTTTGTCAGTTGGAAATGAGTGAAAGGATAAGTCAGAGCATCGTTTACAAGAATTTTTGCAATGATTAACGGAGCAGGATACACCAACCATGGTACTGCTCTATTGATACTTCTTTTTTTATGTTTTGAAAATCTTCCCGCCATTTTACATTCTGGCGCGACGCGAGCGGCCATCTGGAAACCGAACCTCGTTTTGATGCTAGCGAGAGTAAGCTATTACAGAAGTGTCACCATACGATACAGTCGAACACTGACTTGTAAATTGATCTTGGTTTTACTTCAAGGACACCGATGCAAGGAGAAGTTCCAATGTGTTGATGGAAGCTGCACTGATTGGAAAAACACTTGCAGAATAGGAAGTTATTGTACCGAAAACTCTCACAATCCAAATATTTGTGGTAAGCTTTCAATCCATATGTCATGTTTTGATGCTTAGTTCCCTCTTGAATAAAGCTCATTTTCAACAAAATCAGCTAAATAATTTCTTTCTTACATTACTTGTTTAAAGGTCATAGTAATTGTACATTAAAGAATCTTGGATGCAATACTCAAGAATCTTCCCTCACAATTCACAATTGTACAACAATAGGTATGGTATTGCTTAAAGGGCCACGTGAGTGCATCCAAGCACATTTACGCGAATTTCTCACCTACGGTTCGTCATCTTCGATATGGAACTAATCAGAAAACAACTAATATAAAAATTAGGTAACACCTAATTGCGGAGCACCATAGCTAAGAAAAAATGGTATACCATCGAGTCGATTTTCCATGTATATATAAAGAAACGATCATAAAGGCTCTTGTATGCACGTGGTATTTAAACATAACCAAGATCAGACACTTTAATATCCATTCACTTCGCGTTTTTGAGCGTGATCCGCTTTATTTTATAGTTAAAATAGTTAAGAATTTTCACTGGTGTGTACTGATGCTTAAGTATATCAATCAAGAGATCATGGAACATCTGAGAACATTAGAAACGACGTTAGTATAATGAAGAGCATTAGAGAAAAGCATAAAAAAATGAAAATGTAAAACAACTAAGAGAGACACAGAGAAGCATCTGGAACGTAACAAGGGTAGAAATAAACATGAATGATTAATGTATATATGGCATAATTGCATTTAAATTTGTGTTAGCTTTTGTGAACGACTCTTAGACTTCATTTGTTTCTTCTGTTTTATTCGTTTGGTTCAGTGCGAGAAGTGCTACCAGGAAGCCCTAGCCGTGTAGCGAGGATATCTTTCTTTGAGTAGGCGCGGTTGCCAGAAGGATTCCCTACTCGACCATTTTCCTTACTTAAGTTGAAACTCAAAACTAGGCTGAGACGGACTCAAGTGTCATGAGCTAATTGCTTACACTTAGAAGAGGGAAGAGAAGCCGGCGAACAATAGTTGCTTATCTGATTTATAAGGATAATTTATATAAGGGATAAACCTGAATAAATCTGTTTAGTAGCTGTTTCGGTGCAGGAAAAATTCAAAGAGATTAAGAGTGAGTTTCTGTAAATATCAAACATTTTCGAAAAATCTTGGCCATCTCAAAAATTCGATTTTCCTGAAACTTTCCATACAAGTTTGACTCACCCCGCAAAGAAAAATCGGTATCATAAGGTCGGGGGGGCCTTCGTTTCCATGGCAACCACCCCCACTATTTTGGGTCATTTTTTCCAAAACAGCTGTAAATAGGTAGCTTTCTAGGCCATCTTTGTTATATCACAACAAAGAATCATCCTTGGACTTTTGTTGGAGATACTTTTCTTTGGTCTGGTTGCCATGGTTATTCCATAATGAAATTTACAACACACTGAGGTTTTCAATATTTATTAAATGCTCAATTTTGGGTAAATTTGGTGTCTTTTATCTCTGGTGGTAACGCTCTGTTTGAAGCTAAAATTACGTCTAGTACTATTCTATCCTAGGTCTACCAAAACCTACTTTCAAAATTTTGGGCACTTAAATATTTGCTAAATGACAGACTTCCAAACTAACCGACCTTGTAAYAATTTCGTTAAATATACTCAACAAAGATATCAAAAAATTGATAACTAAAAACTACTTATGAACTCGTAAAAGCCGTTTTGGAATCATYTATAATTTACATTTCATGGATATTACCACTTTTTAAGTTKTCATTGAGATATCAAAGCTACAAGAGATGAACATGTTAACGTTATTTTTTAAATGTCTTGCATATTGTAATTTAAAATCAAAAGATTAAAATGTGCACTGGAAGTGGCATCTTACCTGAATTAATCCATTATTTTCTSGTCATGAATTCTMAAGATATCRTTCATTCAGTTTTTTAACCTCTGAGCTTCAGTGAAGCGCGTCGAAGGTATATGATTTGACAGTCATCCAACATACAACAAGTGAAAATAGCGCCTCAGTGTGGCTTCAATCTTTTAGTTTCGGCACAAACAAATTGAAAACATCATTGATAGCTTAGTATATCTTCTAGTCAATTGAAAACGATTTCAATACCACTTTGAAAATCAATTTTAGACATAAATTGAATTGATTTCCGATAGAAGCAGCGGTGGCTACATTCATTTTAAAACCGCTGACCATCAAAACAAGCTGTTTACACGTGCGCTAAAATTGCCACACAAAAATCGCAGCTCATGTAGCGCGATGAATTTATAGGCAAGTGTAAATTAATAGTAGATTTCAACAGTCTCAATTTTTCTCCAATTTACAATTACAAGAGCTAGGTATGTGGGTTTGACTTCAAGCAATAACATATACATAACGACATAACAAATTCCATAAAGTATTGCATTCCAAAGAGAAATGCCCATTGATAGCATCAAAAGTTAGTGATAATTTAATTATATCTTGAAGAATCATAACGAGAAATAATGGATTAATTTAGATAAGATGCCAATTCCAGTGCATATTTTAATCTTACAATGAATATGATACATTTAAAAAAATAACGTTAGCATGTTCATCTCTTGTAGCTTTGATATCTCAATAATAACTTAAAAAGTGGTAATATCCATGAAATGTAAATTATAAATGATTCSAAAACGGCTTTTACGAGTTCATAAGTAGTTTTTAGTTATCAATTTTTTGATATCTTTGTTGAGTATATTTAACGAAATTGTTACAAGGTCGGTTAGTTTGGAAGTCTGTCATTTAGCAAATATTTAAGTGCCCAAWATTTTGAAAGTAGGTTTTGGTAGACCTAGGATAGAATAGTACTAGACGTAATTTTAGCTTCAAACAGAGCGTTACCACCAGAGATAAAAGACACCAAATTTACCCAAAATTGAGCATTTAATAAATATTGAAAACCTCAGTGTGTTGTAAATTTCATTATGGAATAACCATGGCAACCAGACCAAAGAAAAGTATCTCCAACAAAAGTCCAAGGATGATTCTTTGTTGTGATATAACAAAGGAATGGTGTTGCAAAATTGTTCAATAGTTATGATGGCCTAGAAAGCTACCTATTTACAGCTGTTTTGGAAAAAATGACCCAAAATAGTGGGGGTGGTTGCCATGGAAACGAAGGCCCCCCCGACCTAATGATACCGATTTTCCTTTATTGCGGGGTGAGTCAAACTTGTATGGAAAGTTTCAGGAAAATCGAATTTTTGAGATGACCACACAATGTTTGATATTTACAGAAACTCACTCTTAAGTGTAGATCAATTTCCTAACATTAATACTACCGACTTGAAACACTGAAGTTTTGTAACCAATAGAAATTCGAGTTGCGTGGTGTTATAGTAAATTTACAGAAGCTTGAATTATATAATTGACACCCAAGTCTAACAACAAAATATATACAACTGGAAAGTAGCCATAAGCTAAAATAGAGAAAACTGAAAGATGAATGCATTTTGTCGTCATGGATAAAATGTTGTCAAGTAACAAAAAGCACACCATGAGGTTGTGAAAAATAGTTTGTTACAAACATATTCCAGACTAAATTATGTTCCATCTTTAGTTCCCTGTTCATTCGACGATGGTTTTTGTGGTTTCACACATGATGTTCGCTCTCAACGGAAATGGTTTATCGGGCAAAGCGCAACACCAACGCAGTATACTGGACCAAGCATTGACCACACTACTTTGACAGATAAAGGTACACTTATCATCTATCTTTGGCAGTGCAAAGCCGTGGTTTTTCCTCTCCAGTTTTTTTTTTGGATTGACAACTGCAAGTCGTCAACAACCTCCCTCGTCTTTATCAATTGTGCGATATAATACAAAGCCTTGGCAATTCAACCACAAGGCATAAACTTGCATAAAGCATGCCTTATTAAAAAAAGTGGCGGAATTAAACACACTCCCATAAGCTCATAACCAGACTGAATATTGATTTTTTTTAGGATCTTACATCTTTATTGAAGCGTCAGAAAAAACGTTAGGTGATAAAAAAGCAAGACTGACAAGCTGCTGGTTCAATGCAAATAKAACTCAGTGTTTGCAGTTCTGGTATCACATGTATGGCATTCGRATTGGCTCACTTAGGATTTTAAAAAAAACTAACAGTTCTGAAGACACGATCTGGVACCAGAGTGRGAATAAAGGTGATCTTTGGAGATTTGGCCAGACAACTCTTGAAGGAAATGATGGACAGAATTATCAGGTACCTAGACAGTTAAATGGATGCATTGTGATAAGAAAATTGGATTCAAATACAAATATTAAAATTAAGATTATGCTGAAATATTAATTGATATAATATAAGATGGTAAAAGTACCTAAATAGTTGTCCCTCTTTTTTRTAGTTTGTTATTGAAGGAGTGACAAGCCAAGGTAATGAAAGGGAAAAAGGTGATATTGCCGTAGATGACGTCACATTGCATGACGGAGTCTGTAAGACAGTCTCTTCTCGAGGTATGTATTGTAAAAGAAGTTGTAAAACTCATGAATAATTAATGAGGAAAACACAATAGAAATCACAACCGTGAAGAGTGTTGACTGTTATATTTGATACAAAACGGTCTTGATTTGCATAAACTTCAAATCTAATTTTGTCAGCCAAATTCAATTATATCTTCAAGTTTTTAGTAGATTATGAATGTATACACCTAAACGTTTCACAAGTAATTTACAGCATTAATTCTAAAACTCATGAATTATTCATTAGACATTCTTCTGAGCATTCAACTATGGATCACATGACAGGATCTATAACTCAAGTTATAAACACTGATTAATTAAAAATATGTTTTATAACTAACCGGTTCAGTTATTTATAACACTCATGCATAAAACATCAGTGTTGTAACTGATTTACAGACACTCGATGTATGCCCAACACTAGAAAAGTTCTCAGTTTTAGACTCTCATCATAGAACTTCACTAGGTCTCGAGTTAAAATTACTTATTAGCAGAGTCACAGTACACTAAAACATAGTGGCGCTTGGATGTGGGAAACCAAGTTGATTACTTCTCATGCTCAGATGGAGATATCTTCATCAATTGTTCATTTTTGATATTTTGTTATTTATTTCATGTTTCTTGTAGTTTCTTAGGTTTGGGTTTTAGAAGTCATTTAAAAAACTCGTAGTTCGTGTTTTATCGTGGATATAAACACTCGGCCTTCGGCCTTCGGCCTCGTGTTTATATCTCACGATAAAACACTCCTACTCGTTTTTTAAATATCACTCATAGAACTTCACTAGGTTTCAAGTTGAAATGTGCTCATTGCAGAGTCATAGTAGAATAAAACATAGTGGCGCTTGGATGTGGGAAACCAAGTTGATTACTGCTCATACTCAGATGGAGCTAAAATGAATAATTTATGATCAATTATTCATTTTTGAATTTGAAACCGTAAGCATATGAAATCGTGTTAGCGATAGGCGTCTAAAATCACGTTTGTTAAAGCTTTATCAYGAGCCTTTTTAGTTAGAAAAACTATCATTTTCTGTTCTCTCTTGTAAAAATTACATTGTATTTAGGACCTCCTCCAAACTGCAGAAAAGATCAGTTGTTATGTAAAAGAGGTAAGTAATGTGCTTTCTAGAACTCATTAATAATTCATGAGCTATTAGTCCAATGAGCATCGAACTATTGGTTCACATGATGGTCCTTTATATCCCGTTATAGAACTCATTAATAATTCATGAGCTATTAGTCCAATGAGCATCGAACTATTGGGTCACATGATGGGCCTTTCTATCCCGATAAAGCACTGATGTTTTATCAATCAGTTCTATATCAGATATATAGAACTGATATTTTATTAATCAGTTCTATATCAGATATAAAGAACTGATGTTCAAGGTCATCCGCGCTTTATCGCAACCCAACACTAGCAAAGATCTCAGTAGTAGGCAAAGGATGTTTCGAGCCCCGTCCAGTAGGTGGAAGGTGGTAGGTGGTAGGTGGGTATGCTAATGAAGTCCAAAATGATAGGGGAGGGGTGGTGAAAACGAGTAGGTGGTATAAATTATATTAGTAGGTGGGTATGCTAATGAGTCAAAAGTGATAGGGGAGGGGTGGTCAAAACGAATAGGTGGCAATTCATTAA